GGGCGGGATGATAGAAAGCGGGAGAATGGCGCGGGGTGATGGAAGGAGGGAGAACTGGGGCGGGGTGATGGAAGGAGGGAGAATGGGGCGGGGTGATGAAAAGCGGGGAGAATGGGGCGGGGTGATGGAAAGCGGGAGAACGGGGGGGGATGATGGAAGGAGGGAGAATGGGGCGGCGGTGATGGAAGGAGAGAGAATGGGGCGGGGTGATGGAAAGCGGGAGAATGGGGCGGATGATGGAAAGCTGGGAGAATGGGGCGGGGTGATGAAGGGAGATAGCGGGAGAATGGGGCGGGGTGATGGAAAGCAGGAGAATGGGGGGGGTGATGGAAAGCGGGAGAATGGGGCGGGAGATGGAAAGCGGGAGAATGGGGCGGGTGATGGAAAGCGGGAGAATGGGGCGGGGTGATGGAAAGCGATAGAACTGGGCGGGTGATGGAAAGCGGCGAGAATGGGGCGGGGTGATGGAAGGAGGGAGAATGGGGCGGGGTGATGGAAGCGGGAGAATGGGGCGGGGTGATGGAAAGCGGGAGGATGGGGCGGAGGTGATGGAAGGTAGGAGAAGAAGGGCGGGGTGATGGAAGGAGGGAGAATGGGGCGGGGTGATGGAAAGCGGGAGAAAGGGGCCGGGGTGATGGAAAGTGGGAGAATGGGTGGGGTGATGGAAAGCGGGAGAATGGGGCGGGGTGATTGAAAGAGGAGAATGGGGCGGGGTGATGGAAGCGGGAGAATGGGGCGGGGTGATGTAAAGCGGGAGAATGGGGCGGGGTGATGGAGGGCGGGAGAATGGGGGCGAGGTGATGGAAGGAGGGAGAATGGGGCGGGGTGATGGAAAGCGGAGAATGGGGCGGGGTGATGGAAAGCGGAGAATGGGGCGGGGTGATGGAAAGCGGGAGAATGGGGCGGGGTGATGGAAAGCGGGAGAATGGGGCGGGGTTGATGGAAAGCGGGAGAATGGGGCGGGGTGATGGAAAGAGGGAGAATGGGGCGGATGCTGGAAAGCGGGAGAATGGGGCGGGGTGATGGAAAGCGGGAGAATGGGGCGGGTGATGGAAAGAGGGAGAATGGGGCGGGGTGATGGAAAGCGGGAGAATGGGGCGGGGTGATGGAAAGAGGGAGAATGGGTGCGGGGTGATGGAAAGAGGGAGAATGGGGCGGGGGTGATGGAAAGCGGGAGAATGGGGCGGGGTGATGGAAAGCGGGAGAATGGGGCGGGGTGATGGAAAGAGGGAGAATGGGGCGTGGTGATGGAAAGCGGGAGAATGGGGCGGGTGATGGAAAGCGGGAGAATGGGGCGGGGTGATGGAAAGCGGGAGAATGGGGCGGGGTGATGGAAAGCGGGAGAATGGGGCGGGATGATGGAAGGAGGGAGAATGGGGCGGGGTGATGGAAGGAGGGAGAATGGGGCGGGGTGATGGAAAGCGGGAGAATGGGGCGGGGTGATGGAAAGCGGGAGAATGGGGGGGGGTGATGGAAAGCGGGAGAATGGGGGGGGGTGATGGAAGGAGGGAGAATGGGGCGGGGTGATGGAAGGAGAGAGAATGGGGCGGGGTGATGGAAAGCGGGAGAATGGGGCGGGGTGATGGAAAGCGGGAGAATGGGGCAGGGTGATGGAAAGCGGGAGAATGGGGCGGGGTGATGGAAAGCGAGAGAATGAGGCGGGGTGATGGAAAGCGGGAGAATGGGGCGGGGTGATGGAAGGAGGGAGAATGGGGCGGGGTAATGGAAGGAGGGAGAATGGGGCGGGGTGATGGAAAGCGGGAGAATGGGGCGGGGTGATGGAAAGCGGGAGAATGGGGCGGGGTGATGGAAGGAGGGAGAATGGGGCGGGCTGATAGAAGGAGGGAGAATGGTGTGGGGTGATAGAAAGCGGGAGAATGAGGCGGGGTGATGGAAAGTGGGAGAATGGGTAGGGTGATGGAAAGCGGGAGAATGGGGCGGGGTGATGGAAAGCGGGAGAATGGGGCGGGGTGATGGAAAGCGAGAGAATGGGGCGGGGTGATGGAAGGCGGGAGAATGGGGCGGGGTGATGGAAAGAGGGAGAATGGGGCTGGGTGATGGAAGGAGGGAGAATGGGGCGGGGTGATGGAAAGCGGGAGAATGGGGCGGGGTGATGGAAAGCGGGAGAATGGGGCGGGGTGATGGAAAGTGGGAGAATGGGGCGGGGTGATGGAAAGCGGGAGAATGGGGCGGGGTGATGGAAAGCGGGAGAATGGGGCGGGATGATGGAAAGCGGGAGAATGGGGCGGGGTGATGGAAAGAGGGAGAATGGGGCGGGGTGCTGGAAAGAGGGAGAATGGGGCGGGGTGATGGAAGGAGGGAGAATGGGGCGGGGTGATGGAAGGAGGGAGAATGGGGCGGGGTGATGGAAAGCGGGAGAATGGGGCGGGATGATGGAAAGCTGGAGAATGGGGCGGGGTGATGGAAAGCGGGAGAATGGGGCGGGGTGATGGAAAGCGGGAGAATGGGGCGGGGTGATGGAAAGCGAGAGAATGGGGCGGGGTGATGGAAGGCGGGAGAATGGGGCGGGGTGATGGAAAGAGGGAGAATGGGGCAGGGTGATGGAAGGAGGGAGAATGGGGCGGGGTGATGGAAAGCGGGAGAATGGGGCGGGGTGATGGAAAGCGGGAGAATGGGGCGGGGTGATGGAAAGGGGGAGAATGGGGCGGGGTGATGGAAAGCGGGAGAATGGGGCGGGGTGATGGAAAGCGGGAGAATGGGGCGGGGAGATGGAAAGCGGGAGAATGGGGCGGGGTGATGGAAAGAGGGAGAATGGGGCGGGGTGATGGAAAGAGGGAGAATGGGGCGGGGTGATGGAAGGAGGGAGAATGGGGCGGGGTGATGGAAGGAGGGAGAATGGGGCGGGGTGATGGAAAGCGGGAGAATGGGGCGGGATGATGGAAAGCTGGAGAACGGGGCGGGGTGATGGAAAGCGGGAGAATGGGGCGGGGTGATGGAAAGCGGGAGAATGGGGCGGGGTGATGGAAAGCGGGAGAATGGGGCGGGGTGATGGAAAGCGGGAGAATGGGGCGGGGTGATGGAAAGCGGGAGAATGGGGCGAGGTGATGGAAAGCGGGAGAATGGGGCGGGATGATAGAAAGCGGGAGAATGGCGCGGGGTGATGGAAGGAGGGAGAATGGGGCGGGGTGATGGAAGGAGGGAGAATGGGGCGGGGTGATGGAAAGCGGGAGAATGGGGCGGGGTGATGGAAAGCGGGAGAATGGGGGGGGATGATGGAAGGAGGGAGAATGGGGCGGGGTGATGGAAGGAGAGAGAATGGGGCGGGGTGATGGAAAGCGGGAGAATGGGGCGGGATGATGGAAAGCTGGAGAATGGGGCGGGGTGATGGAAAGCGGGAGAATGGGGCGGGGTGATGGAAAGCGGGAGAATGGGGCGGGGTGATGGAAAGCGGGAGAATGGGGCGGGGTGATGGAAAGCGGGAGAATGGGGCGGGGTGATGGAAAGCGGGAGAATGGGGCGGGGTGATGGAAAGCGGGAGAATGGGGCGGGATGATAGAAAGCGGGAGAATGGGGCGGGGTGATGGAAGGAGGGAGAATGGGGCGGGGTGATGGAAGGAGGGAGAATGGGGCGGGGTGATGGAAAGCGGGAGAATGGGGCGGGGTGATGGAAAGCGGGAGAATGGGGGGGGGTGATGGAAGGAGGGAGAATGGGGCGGGGTGATGGAAGGAGAGAGAATGGGGCGGGGTGATGGAAAGTGGGAGAATGGGGCGGGGTGATGGAAAGCGGGAGAATGGGGCGGGGTGATGGAAAGCGTTTGTAGCCTCACCATTCTCCCGCTTTCCATCACCCCGCCCCATTCTCCTGCTTTCCATCACCCTGCCCCATTCTCCCGCTTTCCAGCCACCCGCCCCATTCTCCCGCTTTCCATCACCCCGCCCCGTTCTCCCGCTTTCCAGCACCCTGCCCCATTCTCCCGTTTTCCATCACCCCGCCCCATTCTCCCGCTTTCCATCACCCCGCCCCATTCTCCCGCTTTCCATCAACCCGCCCCATTCTCCCGCTTTCCATCAACCCGCCCCATTCTCCCTCTTTCCATCAACCCGCCCCATTCTCCCTCTTTCACATTCTCCCTCTTTCCATCACCCGCCCCATTCTCCGGCTTTCCATCACCCTGTCCCATTTTCCTGCTTTCCAGCACCCCGCCCCATTCTCCCGCTTTCCATCACCCCGCCCCATTCTCCCGCTTTCCATCACCCCGCCCCATTCTCCCGTTTTCCATCACCCCGCCCCATACTCTCTCTTTTTATCACCCCGCCCCATTCTCCCTCTTTCCATCACCCCGCCCCATTCTCCCGCTTTCCATCACCCCGCCCCATTCTCCCGCTTTCCATCACCCCGCCCCATTCTCCCGCTTTCCATCACCCCGCCCCATTTTCCCGCTTTCCATCACCCCGCCCCATTCTCCCTCTTTCCATCACCCCGCCCCATTCTCCCTCTTTCTATCACCCCGCCCCATTCTCCCTCATTCCATCACCCCGCCCCATTCTCCCGCTTTCCATCACCCCGCCCCATTCTCCCGCTTTCCATCACCCCGCCCGTTCTCCCGCTTTCCATCACCCCGCCCAATTCTCCCGCTTTCCATCACCCCGCCCCATTCTCCCTCTTTCCATTACCCCGCCCCATTCTTCCTCTTTCCATCACCCCGCCCCATTCTCCCTCTTTCCATCACCCCGCCCCATTCTCCCTCTTTCCATCACCCCGCCCCATTCTCCCTCTTTCCATCACCCCCCCCATTCTCCTGCTTTCCATCATCCCGCCCCATTCTCCCTCTTTTTATCACCGCACCCCATTCTCCCTCTTTCCATCAACGCGCCCCATTCTCCCTCTTTCCATAACCCTGAACCATTCTTCCGCTTTCCATCACTCCGCCCCATTCTCCCGCTTTCCATCACCCCGCCCCATTCTCCCTCATTCCATCACCTCGCCCCATTCTCCCGCTTTCCATCACCCCGCCCCATTCTCCCTCATTCCATCACCCCGCCCCATTCTCCCTCTTTCCATCAACCCGCCCCATTCTCCCGCTTTCCATAACCCCACCCCAGTCTCCCTCTTTCCATCACCCCGCCCCAGTCTCCCTCTTTCCATCACCCCGCCCCATTCTCCCTCTTTCCATCACCCCGCCCCATTCTCCCGCTTTCCATCACCCCGCCCCATTCTCCCGCTTTCCATCACCCCGCCCCATTCTCCCGATTTCCACCACCCGCCCCATTCTCCTGCTTTCCATCACCCGCCCCATTCTCCCGCTTTCCATCACCCCGCCCCATTCTCCCTCTTTCCATCACCCCACCCCATTCTCCCGCTTTACATCACCCCGGCCCATTCTTCCGCTTTCCATCACCCCGTCCCGTTCTCCCGATTTCCATCACCCCAACCCATTCTGTTATAGTCACAATAGGCTTGAATGTGCCTAAAACGAAAGATAGCGAGCACAGACGGATTTCTGCACAGCGGCTTCAAACGTTGATAGCGTTCTGCTCACAGCTGCAAATGACTTGATTCAAATTGGATCTGGAGCGTCTTCACGTCGTTTCAATTAGCAATTTAGATTGCACGATTTGATAAAGAATTGACGACACAGCGTCGGTTTGAACGAACGGTACTATGGCAGCCACTATAGTCTTAGAACACAAGATAGGAAGAGTTACGAGTTGGGAATGACTCCCAGCTCCTACAAACCCCAAGAGCCGAGGTACAGTGATGTGGAACAGTGCCACACTGTCCCCAACCACGAAGGGTCTCGAAACTACCCTTCACTAGGGCCTACACCAAGTGAAATGTTACACTACACAAAGTAATGTAACTATCTTCAATATCTTGAGGTGTACCCTTTTGGCAAGCTTCGAAATCACTTGAGGCTTGACACCAAGGCTCGGGCTCTTCATCACAAACTCATCCTTGAGTTCTTGATGGGTCTGCTGCACACACCTGCGACACGCCGAACGTTCGACACAGGACAAAATAGAAACCGCGCACGACAAAATAGAAACCGCGCGCGAGACACAAACGACCGCGTAACACGCGTCTAGCGATAACTCGCTATTGACTCGACACACACACTCGACATCATGACTCAACATTCACACACAATTATAAGCATGAAATATATATTATCCCATGCCCTCATACCATTCCATACACACACACATTCACGCACACGGACAACAAGCCGAGTGCAAACCGTAGGGTTGCACCAACAAACTCCCCCTCGGATTGTTGGCCTTAGGATATGTTGCTCTCTCAGTTCAGAGCCATCCCAGCCAGCTTGCAACACTTCCAATGCTGCTGCTCCACCAGCCTCTTGGTCATCATGTCAGCCGGCTGCCCCGTGGTCTTCACGTAGCGCAACTCAACTTCACCCGCGGTTACCATGCTCCTCGTCCAATGCCACTTCACCCTCATGTGCTTCGTGAGTCCATGCAACACAGGGTTCTTAGCAAGAGCAATGGCACCCTGGCTGTCACAGTACAGTGGGGTAGGTCCTTGCTGCTCCTCCCCCAATTCAGCCAACAAACGCCGCTGCCACACAATCTCCCGTACGGCACGGAAGAGTGCCATGTACTCGGACTCCACCGAGCTCAAAGCTTGGTCAACCTGCTTCTTGCTCTCCCAAGCAGTTGGGCCTCCACCAACACAGCATATGAAGCCTCCCACACTTGTCATGTCCTCTGGTTCTGATGCATATGAAGCATCCGAGTAGGCGGTGAGGAACAAACGCCCGGGTTCAACACCATCCGCGCCCTTTTGGCGCCTTTGTGCCGCCGCCGAGTATTGCAGCCCAACGGTCGGTGTTTGGCCAAGATACTTGGCCACCCTCATTCCAGCTGCTACCTGCTCCTCATTAGGGCATTGCACAACCCTAGCCAGCTGCCCGGTAGCAAACGCGACGTCCGGTCGGGTGTTTACCGCCGCATACATGAGGCTGCCCACCAACGAGTGAAATCGGCGCCTCTCCTCTTCACCAACGCTCTCCTCCTCTGGTCCCTTCACACACTTGAACCCAGAGGGAAAGGGTGTAGCCACATGGCCTTCACTCTGCCCAAAGTTGGCAGCCAATGCCTCCAGGTACTTTCGTTGATGCACCCGCATGCACCGCTTCTCCACATCTCGTTCGATGTGGAGCCCAAGGTAGAAGCTCACGTCACCAAGGGCCTTGCACTTGAACTTGTCTTGAAGCTTCAGCATCAACTCCTTCACAAGGTCAGAAGAGGGTGAGAAAATGAGGATGTCATCCACATAAACCACCATGAAACTCCTCTGCTCCCCCTCGCCAAGCATGAACAAGGAGTGATCGGCCGTTGAGGGAGTGAAGCCGATCCCCTCCAACACTTCGCGTAGCTTCATGTACCATTGCCTAGGGGCCTGCTTCAGCCCATAGAGGGCCTTCTTCAGCTTCCACACTCTGCCACTACCATCATCAAACCCCTCTGGCTGCGCCATAAAAATCTCCTCCTCAAGGATGCCGTTAAGGAATGCCGTTACGATGTCCATTTGCTTTACTACCCATCCTTTGATGGCGGCTCCCGCGAATAGGGTTCGCAGCGTCGTCGGCTTCACCACAGGGGCAAACAGCTCCTTGAAGTCCACCTTCTCCTTCTGCTGGTACCCCTTGGCTACAAGCCTAGACTTGTAGCGCTCGATCTTGCCGTCGGCATCCGACTTGATTTTGAAGAGCCACTTGGACGTTATCGCCGTACGCCCCTCCGGTAGCTCCACCAATTCAAACGTGTCATTCTCCTCGATGCTCTTCAGCTCACTCTCCATGGCCTTCTTCCACTCCTCAGCATCACTACTCTCCAAAGCCTCCTTGAGAGTTGCTGGTTCTCCCGGCATCTCCACCGGAGAGAAGAACGCGAAGGCACACTCCTCGTAGTCACTCTCCTCGTCGTCTCCGACCATCATTGCCGCTCCGGCCAGGGCTGTCTTGCCCTGCTTTCCCGGCGCATCATAGGTCAGCCTATTAGGGGGTTGAACTCTCCTCTTCCCCCTTCCTTCCTCCTCAGCTGCAGGGACTTGAAGGCCTTGGCGTTGCTGCGGTGTGGCTCGAATCCGTGGAGCACTCGTAGTACGGGAAGGGAGTGACGGTGCACGCTCGCTCACTTGCTGCACCTCCTCCTCTTCTTCCTCTGCATCATTGGCCTCCTCTCCCCCATTCACAAGGGAGGATTGCCTTGTGGTTGTGCTGCCGCTGCTCAGCTCCAAAGGCAGCTCCACATGCTCCAAACCGGAACTCTTCACCTCCCCAAACCGCACGCCTATCTTCGCCTCATTCTCCGCCTTCCAATCCTTGTACATGAAGTTCTCCATGAACTTGCAGTCCCTGCTCACCAAGAACTTCTTGGTGAATGGGTCCCAAAGAAGCCATCCCTTGCTGTTTTGAGCCATGCCCAAGTGCACGGCCCACACCGCCTTGGCACCAAGCTTGTTGTGCCGAAGATGCTTAGGCACGAGCGCCATGCACATGCACCCGAACACCCGAAGCATATCCACCTTTGGCTTCCTTCCTAGCCACTCCACATAGGGCACCCATTTGTCTGCTCCCACATGAGTCAAGGCTCTGTTCTTGGCCACACACGCGCTCCGCACCGCATCAGGCCAGAAATAGTCGGGTAGCCCGGCTTCAATGAGCAACCCGCGTGCCGCCTCCGTGATTGTGCGGTTCGCTCGCTCGGCGATGCCGTTCATTGCAGGGGAGTATGGCATGGTGAGGGAGTGCCGAATACCATTCTTCTTCAGCCACAACCCAAACTCCTTGCTCAGGAACTCTCCCCCTCGATCGGTGCGGATTGACTTGACTAGACGGTCTTGTTGCCGCTCCACCATCGGGAACCAATCCGTCTTCAACGTTTCAGCCACGTCGCTCTTCTTGGCCAGCACGTACACCCAAGTCATGCGGGTGTAGACGTCGACAATGGTGAGAAAATACTCAGCTCCAGCAGCTCCAAGCTTCAGGGGGCCCACCATGTCCATCACCACCTCATCAAGCGGTGCCTTTGCCGTTGCCTCCGAACTAGGGAACGGAAACCGGGTGAACTTGGCTTGAATGCACGTCGGGCAGCCAAGCACCTCATCGGGCTCCCCCTTCACACGTATGCCAGCAACCATCTCATTCTTCACTAGCTGCTGCAAGATGGGCAGGGCCACATGCCCCATGCGCCGATGCAAGGTGAGCCAATCACACTCCCCCGTAGCCGAAGTTGGATTGGAGAATGCCGCGCTCGCAATAGCGCCCCACATACTCTCTCCGTAGTCCTCCTCCGCTGCTGCCTTTGGGTTCTCCTCACCCTTTTGCTGCTCCTTGGTTGCTGCACCACTCTCCTTAGGTTCACTGAACTTGCTGGTCCCTCCAGGTTTGCTCTTCTTGAGCTCATTCTCCTTAGCGCGACCGTTCGCGCCATCGTCGCTACCGACCGCTCCATCCTTGGTGCTGATGCTTGCTGCCACTTGCCTCTCCTTAGGCATAGGGACCACTGGGATCTGCCACATCTCGTTGTAGACATCCCTGTCCTCATGAAGGTCCCAAAGAATTCGATCGCCAAGCCTTGCGGTGTAGGTCTTGGCTCCCTTCGAGTTCGTGTCCATGCCGGCCTTTGCCAACCGCCGCACGGAAATCAGGTTTGCAGCAAGGCTGGGCACCCAAAGCACGTTCTTGAGGCCCACCATCTTCCCATCAGCACCCTTGAACATGGCCTTGCCCATGCCTTTCACCTCTGCTCGCTGCCCCAAAGCCGATGTGACATGCTTCACCGGTGACGGCTCGAGTTCGGTGAGCAAGTCCGGGCGAGGTGTCATGCTATAGGTAGCGCCACTATCAATCACCCAATAGTCCAGGGGGTGTAGGGTCACCTTCCCCACAGCTGCTGGCTCCTCAAAGCCTTCATCCTTCTCTGGACCAGCCGGTACTTGCGTCGACACGAAGTAGAATAGACCCGGGTATCGATCGTCGCTCGGGTCCTTGTCGTTGTCTCCGCTCTTCATGTTTGCAGCTCCGCCACCGCGACCGTCACGGCCTCCACGGCCTCGTCCGCTCCCTCCTCCTGCTCCTCTACCCTCTTGGCCTTGAGCAGGGGTCCAACCATCAGGGAGTTTGTAGCAGTCGCGCCACATGTGTCCGCTCTTGTGGCAATAGTGACACTCGCCGTCGAATCGGCCGCGACCGCGTCCGTAGCTCTTGTCGTCGCTGCCGTAACCGCCACTCCTGCGGCCTCCGCCGAAGTTGCTGCCACCAAACCTTCCTCCCCCTCGTCCTCTGCCTCTTCCTCGACCATATCCACGGCCGATGCTCGCTGCCCCAGCGCCATCCGCACTCGCCAACTCACGGCGGCGGAAATCCTCTTGAAGGATAGCTCGCTTCACGTCTTCAAGCGAGAGGCGGGGCAAGTCGCGATT